AAGATGTAACGCGACCCCCAAAACTATCCCAGTCCAATTAACCTCTTCAAATCTGCTTTAAAAGCAGGTATCCCTGACAGATTGTCTCTGGGGGAAGAGCTGGCACCTACTGTGTTTGCATCCAGACACTACCTTCTGTGGTGCTCATGTTTTTGTTTATACACACCGGCACCAGCTCTGCGTCAAGTGCAGCTGACATGACAGTAACATCCATAAACTGCCAAGTATTCAACTCAGAAGCGGCAACGTTATTTGCCTCACTCGCCTGAATCTAGCCCAAATTCCTCAGGGAAAGGGGGGAGGAGAATTATTTCCGGCTTTTTCGCCCTGCACATCTGCATAAACATCAGTTAGTCCCTTGTCATATAAAAAGCACGAGAAAAACACAAACATGCGCACACACAATGAAATCTACCAGCTTCATGACAAGCAATAATTTCATGCAATATGGTTACTTCTACTGAAATGTCTCATTGCCACTTACAAGCACTTAACTCCATCACCAATACATGTGCAAAGTTGGAAGGCAAAGACTACAACTCAAGGCATCTGCATGTGTTTAAGCTGCATGGATATCAATGGGGCACAAGCCACAACTGCAGTCACAACATCTTGCAGCCAAGAGAACACAACAAAGTAAAGCAGAACTGGGATTCCAAAAAGGAGTATTAAAGGAAGGGGCTGAGAGCCTGACTTTTCCCAATTTGGTTGCTACTGTTACAAATTAATAAAATTATCATTGAATAGCACTTTCAGAATTCAAAGCACTTCCCAAACACCATCTTTTGCCATAAAAATAAACCAGTAAGATACGTCAGTATTATTAACCCCATATTGCAGATAGGAAGACTGAACTGAGAGTGTTGCTTACTCAAGGTCACCTGATGAATGTGTGCTGGGGCAAGATTCAATCCAGAGATGCCCTGACTCAAAACCTGACCTCATAGTCACTACAATATATAAGCCTTCTTTTAGTATGAAAAGGTTGATTACAGGGGGTAACTGATTCTTGATAGCAAGTGGGCCCTCCACAGTTGTAAATGATGCTCCCAACTTCATGTATCCCCCCCCCATTAAGATAGTTTCAGAGGGTAAGCTTGAAAGCTCGTACCCTGAGAATCTTGTTGGTCTCTAAGGTGCTACTGGACTCATATCTAGCCCCACTCCCTATGTCTCTGTTATATCTACATGGTTCCAAATTTTCACCTTGGTGTAACCAGATCTCATGGAAATAGTTTTCTCAGCGTCTCTCAACAACCTACAGCTCCAAATCATACCGAAACAGCTTCTCCTTTGTAGCCTTCCTCTTTTGAGCATGGGTTGTTTTGTGTGTGTCTCTGTGTGTGTGTGTTTTGGCTCTCAGAACTGCGGTCAAAATTCTTACAGGCATGGAAAACAGGGAGCAGGTGTGACATGTCTCCTGCCCAAATCCTGAATTTGTTTTTGGAATTCCGAGATCAAAGTTGTCAATACAAAGCTGATTCCTCCTCACCTCTGCCTTAATGTTTTAATCTAATATATTAAGGAATCTTCAAAAAGCTAA